GTATGGTAAGTGGTCAGAATATTATGCAGAATTAATAATGTGTACGGAAAGATTCACCAAGTTTTTAACAATAAAATTTAGCATATATTTAAAGGGATATTTTGAGGTTATGGGAGTATAAGTATTTTCATTTTAATTTTTATGATCCAATTAGTTGTTATTAGGAGAATGCATTCTTTTCAAACACAACACTACTACTGGTTTCTGGTCTGATGGTAGAACTGGTGTCAGGAGGTTATTACAATGGAGATCTTTACTGTTCCAACATATTTAATAGTTAAGCTTCAATGTTACTCTGTGTTATCCAAAAAAGGGCAAAACTGTGTTTATAGAAACTCAACAAATCATGTAGTATGTGCTAATACAGTTGGAAGACAGTTTAGGAGCCAAATATAATGCCTTATTTAGTCTATTCAGTAAAGGTGAAGGGTTCACTCAAAATATTTTCTCTCCTGAAAGCTGATTTTCTTGGTGAAAAGAAGAGCCCCAGAGAAAGTTCATCTTCATGAAATTTTAAGCCTCCTTTTCATCTGCAATTTTTTTTTGTCACTGCTTATTTCAAGCAGATGAAGAAAGTTGTGTTTGTATGTGGAGCTTCAGCAAACCAAGTGAGACCTGGGAACCTGTCTCTGCTGTAGAGTTAAGATAGCTTTGCAGTTTTGATAAGTCTGCTAAGATCATTAGTAATTTCTGAAGGAGAACATTATTTCCTAAGGGCAACTGCTTTGAAGGCAGCTCTGTTACCAACAGTCTGAGAACTATGAGCTTGTCCTGACCTTTTGATAAATGCAAACACATCGAAAATATCTGTGTGCTGGTCTGGCTTAGGATAGGATACGATTCCCTTCATTTGTTGCTCGGCAATCTGTTCACTTGCCTCCATCAACTGGTGCAACTGTCTTGGTATAAAACCAGGTCTGGTAGTACTTGACCTACGCTTTAAGTCTCTGCAGAGATACAGAAATGTGTTAAGACGGGGGGGTATCTCAATACATTTTATTTTACTGTTTCTTGATTTTACTGAATTTTGCCTTTCTGGACTTGCAGAGCTGATGTTGAAGTTTGAATCTTGTTTTCTTTGTATATGATTTTAAACCAGGAGGAGTGCATGAGATTGATGTGCAATCCAGATCCAGAGTGCAACTTTGGAACTTTGCGGAAAATTATATGTGTGGGACTGCTGAAAATTACAGTGAACAGGAACTAAAACATCATAGATACTGAATTTAAAAATGAATACCTGAATACAAGTAAAGGTATCTAAGCAACTTCCTTCTGAAGAAACAAAATCAGCTAATCTTATCAGACAGCAAAAGAACAAAAAAACCTCCAAAACCCAAACTAAATAAAATAAAAAAATAAGTAGATGATATATGAAGGAAAAAAGGAGAAAGGCTGAAAATTGGTACCCAAAAGAATTGGGATCAAACTTTTACATGAGATTTGTCTTGACTTTTAAGTCCTTGTAGCAAGTGCAGGGAACAGGGAGGAAATCACACCATTATTTTATTATTTCTCCAAAAGATTTTCTCAACTTCAACTATTTCTCTGCTGCAGAATTTTAGTTTAGTTGTTTGATCCTTTAAATCCTGTAGGGTTGGTCTAAACTCTTTTATACCTCTATATTTCTGAGATTTGCTTTCCAAGAAAAATATTAGAAGATTATGTATCCTAAAAATATGAAAGCTTGCATTTTTCCCCTTTAAATAATAGCAGATAAAAATAGATACAACTGCAAAATACGAGATAACATCCTGCTGAAACAGGTGCATGGAGGATAACAAGTATAGAGCACTTCCTTACTAAGCAGAGGCCTGTGGACCGTGAGTGCTCTCGCCTCCTCCTACTTTCTATTCAGGAAGCAGGATGACATGACCATGGGCAGCAGTGGCAGTGTCTGGAGTAAGCGGCAGGCAGGCGAAGCCTATTTTTATCAGATGTAATGATAAATTTTTATTTAGCATTTCTGAAATGTTCACGCATGGTGTGTCACCTTGGGTTGTGCATGTGTAGGGGTGAAGGTGTGTGGGTGTGCTTTCTTCCTGTAGAAATGTTTCTCAGAGCGGGAGGTTTGCATCCCACATGTACCCGACTGAAAGCAAAGAAATTGTTTAGAGAGGTGCTAAATAAAGTGAGTGGTTGAACAGAGGAGAAGGAGGATGAAAGAACTCTGCTGATGCTGGTATCAAAATAAAATGGGACAATTGCTTAAAACAAAAGCCTGGAACATTTTGGTGTCCTTAGATGATCTAATTAGAAAGATGTACGCCTGATTCTCCATTGTTTGTACCTTACATAATCATATAAATTTTTCAGTGCACCATATTGTAAGAAGGAGAAGCATTTACATTGTTCATGAAGAGTGAAAATACCTTAATGTTGCTGCATAGTTTCAGATAAAATACATATACCAAAAAAAGAAGTCATAATATCTGTGCTTGAAAATAGTTATGATAGAATATAGAACAGCCAACAATCTCCAAACTGTTTCTATTTTAATTTGGCTGTTTGTGCACATTTCTCACTATTAACATAACATTTATTATTTGAATACCAGCAGGTTATACAATTATATCAAGATTTATATCTGGAAAGTCTCCACCGAATTTGAAAGGCAACCTTAGCTTTGCAAGGTACCTATTAAAGTACATCACAATGTTGTAATATCATGTATTATTGAGAAACTGGGATATGTTGTTTGGCAAATATAACACAAGAGTTAACTAATAAATTTTAAGACAGTGGGGATTTTAATAATTCTGGCAGAAAATATTTTATCTTTTTGTTCCCACTTGACCATATGTGTAATGTACATTTTTCTAGAAAATATACAGCACAGCAGCAGAGAAGAAGTCTGGTTGTTACAAGGTCCTGGCTAGCTGTGTAGAGTCCCATCATAGAAGTAATTTAGTCTAATTTAAATAACACTTAGACTTCCATGAATAAAAATTTTTGCTGGAACTAGCATGATAACTTAAATGATTATCCAGCCTTGGCAGTCAACTTCAGTAATAGAAATTTAGCTGTCTTTGGCAAGCTGTCCAAGGAATCAATTAGCTTCACTGTATTGTACCTTCTGTTTAATTTAGTGAATTTATTACTCTTCTGTCCTTGTCTGTCATTAACTTTCAGTCTCTTTGATTGCAGTCTACATGGATCTTTAAGTTCTTAATAATTTTCTTTTAGGTAAACTCATTAGACACAGTTCCTTTTGTCATTCAATATTTCAATGTTTTAATCATGTTTCTGGTCTCCAAAGGCAGAGGGAATGTAATTTTATTGTGCTGTGTTCCATTGATAAAAAGTTTCAGGTTAGACTTTTTCATTCACTCTTTCACAGAGACTGAACAAGTCTCTGAAGTTACAAGCTCCCACAAGGGACTCTATCCTGTCAACATTAATGGAATAATTTCTTCCTAGGTCAGATATTTACTTTCCAGTTGTTGCCACAGATAGAGGCAAACACATTAAAAATATACAGTAGTAACTTCTTTTGCTTAAAAACATCTAATATGATGCCTTAAGCCCCTAATGGTTTTTTTATTTTTCTAATATTTGTAAGTTTTATAAGTAGGTTTTAAAAGCAGAAACCCCTTCCTTCTTTGTCCCTTGTTCCTTTCCCTCTTTCTAGCACCCTTGTTTATACATTCCCTAACCCTCTTACCCCGTTCTATGCTCCCCATATCAATCCCGCTTCTGAATACAGCAGAGATGTTTAGTCTTTTGTCAAGGCAAGGCCTAGACAGTTGACGGAACAGCATATCTGGGCCTAAACCACAGAATAGGAAGGAATTAGGTAACTATGTACCCTTTGTGCTCTGATGATGCTGAAGATGGGAAGAAGGGTGGGTCCCAAAATGCACCCCAGACCCATTCTCAGGGGGTGGACCCGGGGCGGACCAGAGTAAAGGCCACAGGGTGGGCACATCTGGGATTGGATGGAGAGTATTATAAAATGTAACATCTCAGGCACGAACGGCGCGCGTCCTGTAACATCTTGGCAAATAAACCCTTTCTTATCTCACCCCTAATTAACTGCTCCTGGAGATTTTTTTCAGCACCAAAATACACAAAATTTTGGATCTTGGAATTCCTGCATTTCAATCTTCTGAGAGAGGATCTCACTGAACAACTTGAAAGATTAATGATTTTACAATGTAGGATAAACAGGCTGATCATTAATCTTTTCCAACATTAAATTCTTCAGAAAGATGACAGTGCTAGTCCTAACTTACAAGACAAAGGCATTACAAAGTTGTTAGAAATCAAGTGGCTCTGAATATCAGAGACATTGACAATCTTTCAATTGAAGACATTTAAAAATTTATTTTCTTAATCTGTAATCAGTGAATTATATTACTAAAACAATAACAGAGCAAGGGGATTTCAGTCAAAATTGTTTGAGATACAATGTATCTATGGTTTCTATGTGATTGAAGTCTTGAATTTGTCTGGAAGTCTTTCATACCACAGACAGACTATCACAGCGGTTTTTCACAAGTAGAGCATATGAAGAGATAAAAATTTTTTTATTGAAGACGTAAGGTTTGTGAATGGGGGAATTGCAGTTCATAGGCTGGAATGACTTTTAACATAATTTACTAATGCATGTCCTGAGGGTCACATCAAACCACTTTCTTATGATAACTAGTGTGAAAGCAGAACAAGACTATCACAAATTTAATTAGACTGGCCCCATAATTTATGCTGCTGAATTTCTGAAATTGTTAATAGAACATTCATGTACTCGAAATGCATAGAAATAGCTTTCTTGCAGTGTCATCACAGCCCCACAGTTCTATAAACAGTTTTATCTAAATGTGCACAAAAATATAGTCATAGATGGGTATAAACAATATTTTTCAGCATTTCAAATTATTTGAATATCTTTCTACTGTAAGTCAATTTCATTAATATTTGCCATATAGGAATTGCTGATATTACATTTCCCTTGAGTCAGTTATAAGCAGGTTTTTGTTGAGTTTTGTGTTTTTCAACAGATGCTTTTGAAGTATCTGAGAAACAAAATAATACCATGTTTACCAAAGCAGGAAGAAATGTTATTTTTTTCTTGCCTTTATAAAATTGGAGATTCGGTGCAGCAAGCAACGTTGGAAAGGATTAAAGCAAATTGAGTAGATATTGTCATTCTGTGCAACTCTTCAGGAAAGCAAAGTTTTGTTTCAGATTTCAAAGAGCATACACTGGTGGATTGTTCTCATCAGGCAAACTCCAGGATTTTCTTTCGAAACATTACAGCCTCTGACTTTGCAATGTACTACTGTGTAGCTGCTGAAAGAAACGAAACCTGTATGATGAGTTCTACTGTGGCTGGTAAGTAAAGGAAGAAGTGTTAAATGTTTTCAAAACACGACCTTCTGACGCATTAGCACTTTTATCCATACAAAATAACTCTTCAGTAACAAGTGAGGACTTATTTAAGTACTGTGTTCCAATTAGCAGGATGTAAAAGACAGCAAAATTAACAATCTCATTTCCACAGAAATAAACTGGCTTTAAGCTTGTCTGATCTCATTATAGGAGTGTAGAACTGTTTGTAAGCAACTGTTTTGATATTAAGAATCATAGAATAGAATAGAACAGAATAGAATCATAGAATCATTAAGGTTGGAAAAGACCTCCAAGATCATCAAGTCCAACCTTTGACCAAACACCATCATGTCAACCAAACCATAACACTAAGTGCCATGTCCAGTTCTTTCTTGAACACTTCTAAGGATGGTGACTCCATTACCTGCCTGGGAAGCCTGTTGCAATGCTTGACCACCCTTTCAGTGAAGAAATTCTTCTGATGTCCAACTTGAAACTCCCCTGCTGAAGCTTGAGGGCGCCTCTTGACCTATTGCTAGCTGCCTGGGAGAAGAGGCTGATCCCCACCTTTCTACAACCTTTTCTGGTAGCTGGAGAGAGTGAAAAGGTCTCCCCTGACCCTCCTTTCCTCCATGCTAAAGAAGCCCATCTCCTTCAGCCACTCTTCATATGACTTAGAAGAAAGAGATGCTTTGGAAGGGGAAAGATGGCCTTAGTTTGCAGGGAGAGGTGGGCATTCTACCAAAGAAGGCGCGAGGGAAATTCCCCATTAGCACAGTGTACTGCAGGGCCCTGAGGATGAGACCTGTCCTTCAGTGAAGGCAAAGAGCACACTCACAGTTGAAAATGTAGAATTTTGTAAACTGACCTCTACTTTATTCAGGTAGGGAGTTTCCTCATGGAGCTCTCTCAGCTTTCTAGGTTTTGCTGTAACTATTGTCACAGTTAGCTTATAAGGGGAGCTACGTGCCCCCCCCCCAGACCCAAGATTTCTCAAACTGTGTGTTGAATCCCACCTTTATGTTTACTTTCTGTTATGACTCAAAAAAAAAAAGAAAAAGACTTGGTTTTGCTTCTTCTCTATAGAACACGTTTTGAAGACATGATTCTTGTACCACCCCATTCCTTCTTCTGTTGCTGCATTCAGTTCAGCTTTCATTTTTCTGCTTTTGTTCCTGGTAATACATGAGTGTTAGTAAACATCTCTTTGACAATACTGTGGTATGGGGTATAAAACTGCAGAATATATTTAATCTGTGATTAGGTTAATTGAGAAGTGAAGGTTGTACTTGGAAAAAAACATGATGACCTCTTTTACTCTGAATACTTGACAACAAAAATGCATGAAAGTGAGCAGAATGTGAGAATAGAGGAACTAAGAGAATAGAGAAGAATAGAGAAAACAGGACAAAATGTCCTCTCACCTCTGACAATTTTAAACATTGGAATTTCAAAATGTTGCCTGAATTGATATAATCAAGCATATCCTAACTGTAGAGCAATAGAAATATTTTCTGTTTACTTTAGCTTCCATCTCACCTGGTGACACAGCTAGTGAAGTCTCTCACAGGCTCATGAGTGACTTACTCTTCCTGATCCAACAATTCTGGCTTGAGTAAACCAAGTGGTGCCAGGAACCTGACACACTATTTTTATTATGTATTTTCTACCAGTTCAGTCATGTAATTTTTTTTGGCTTAGCATTACAGCTGAGCCACACTGTAGCTTGGATTTGCTACCAAGCTCTTCCAACGCTTAAGTCTGTTGGTGTGATTCTGTGTGGGAAAAGCCTGAAATACTGAGTCTAGTTGGTGAGAGGAGAACTGCACTGTAAACAGTAATATAGAAAACTCTGTTTAGGTTGAGAGGTGGTAAGATAAAAGATAAGAACCCTTTCTTTCTTTTTTTTTTTTTTGAAGCTGTTTTTGAAAAGACCTCAAGAACTTTTGAAGAAGAGGAATCTTGGGTGAAAAGCAGTATTAAGAGCACAGGATTACTTGCAGAACTGATAACAATTCAAAAACTGCTGATTCCAAGAGGTGATACAGTAGAAAGATGCAGTTTTCTTCTTATCTAAAGGTTAATATATTTTTGCAAAAAAAACCAGCATGGAATGCCTGTGAAGAAAAAAGGGAGAGATGAAGGAATAGGTATTCAAGCATTGTGAAAGCACTTCTTGCAGTTGTGTCAGCAGAAGTCAGCACGCACTTAATATTTTTGAACATTAGTGAAAATGAAACCATGACATCAATTAATTATCACTAAGTTTATCGATTCTATCCCACTAAATGTTGTGATTTGTTTTTCAGAAACAGGAATTTCCAGCTGAAATTGGACATCTGCAAATATTTTTTGACCTCAAAATCTGGAACATATAAGGCAATGTGTATGTAAAAAAGTGTAGTTTTTGTTGGACAGCTCTTACAGAAACAGAAAGCTGAGTATTACATAATTATACAATGTGTTCAAGAGACCTGGGATTCATTTCTGATGTGTTCTTCACCATATCTCTTCTTCTAAAAATTCTATCAATAGAGAGATTGTTCATGACACCAGATTTCACATCTGAACCTGTTTCTGTTTTTTTTCTTACCATGCTTTTTTCTTTGAGAGAGTCTTTGAAGAGAGGAAGCAAACTTATAATTCATATAGTTTTGGTAGATGATTCAGAAAGAAGGGGAGATGTCATATGAAAGGACTGAAAATTTAGCAGGGTTGAAAGACCTAAACATCCTGAAGACCTAGACATTTTTAGGAAGATTTAATAAGTTTTTTTCTTGCCTTAGCAGAAAATGGGATAGCAAGCTCTCTTGGACAAAATAAAGTAGAAACATGTTTCTTTGTGTTCCCACTAGATCTGAAAAGGTGGTTGGCAGTTGTATTTACATGTATGTTTAGGGGGTCGGAATTACATTTGTACTAGCCCTTTTACCAGCATTTTTGCCTTCCTCTACACACATTCAAGTACCTTCATGTCCTTCTAAATTTGTGGGGCTAAGAAGTGCACATAGGGCTCAGAGTGAGGTTTCACCTACACTGATTATAGTGGGATAATCACCTCCTTTAATCAGTTGGTGTTGCTGAGTTTGATGCACCCCAGGATGTGATTTGCCCTGTGGACACTGATCACTCACACTGAGCCTGCTGCTGACCAGCACCCCTACATCCCTTTCTGCAGGGCTTCTTTCTAGCTGCTTCTCTCCCGGTTTATACTTGTGTCCAGAATTATTCCATCCCAGGTGCAGAGACAGGATGGATTTGCTTCTTTCACTCACTAGATGGGTGACCTTATTGCAGAGGGATATCAAATTAGTTAAACAGGACTTTCCCTTTGTGAATGCATGTTGACTGTGCCCTTAAATGTCTTTCAATTGCACCCAATAGGATTTTCATAGCATCCAGATGAAAAGCAGGGACTATTTGTCCAGTCATTGGGGGTTATCATATAGCCCTTGTGAGCTGGGAGGAGCTCTGGGTCATAGGAAACAGCCAGAAGGTAAGACTGCAGTAAGGGGGTGAGCAGAACCAGGATAGGAATGAAATTAGCTTCTGTCTTCCTTCATGCAATCATTCGGTACAAACACTAGATATCAAACCATGTCTGTGGGCCTCTACTCAACAAACCACTGTTCTCTAGGCATGAATGCATTTGTGCTGGATTTCTGCCTTTCAGTTGTGTGGACAACTGTTTCAGTGATGTCTAGTTAGCACACCATATGTGCCAATCCAGCAATGCATGTGACAAAATACATGAAGGGCTTGACAGTGAAGTTCAAATCTCCTGTTAAAACAAATAACTGTATGACTCATCAGTGCTCCCTCCTCTAAACCAAAGTTGGAGCACTGAAGGTTGAAAACCTTCCTACAAAAAATTTTTGCACACTTGCAGAGAAGATACCAAGGCTATGATGGGTTGTCCAATACTTAACAGAAATTGTACTGATGCTGGAAATATACTTAATAACCTCCTGTCAGCATATCACCTTTGTTGAGAACGTAAGAACTAAAGAGACACATGACGTGCATCTGACATGTTTCTGCAAAAGCTTGACTGGGATGTTAAAGTCAGTAATTACAAAAGATTTTGTATAGTTAAAGAAAACAAATGCCTAAGGAAGGTTTTGCTCACTTCAAGTGAGAAAAGCATAAGGGCTTTGAGTTGTTGTTAGTTAAAAAAAAATCTATTAATTTTTCTCATCCGAATTTAGCTGACAGCTGATAATCTCAGCTCTCAAACTCATTAATTGAGGGATTATTATCTTGACCTGATAAAACTGAATGTGAAACTTCCGAAAAAGAGTAATGAAGTCTAAAGCAGTTAAACTGAAGGATGGGGATGTTTCTGAACTCTGCAACTCTATCCAGATTCACCCATCCTTGATGACAATTAAATACAAGACTTAAAAAATTTCCCTTGTTGCTTATATTTCATATTTCTGTAAGTATTCACTGGGACAGATAATGATTTTCTATGGTGGGTGGCATAAAATCTGGGAAAAAAAGACATTATAATTTGGACATAACTATATGCACTATCCTGTCATTTTAAGTACACTGGAGCTGAAAACATTCTGGAAGTAGAGTGATTTCATATGTGGTTATAACACAAAAGATACTGGTTTTTGTTATCAGACAACCTTCTCTGAAGTGTCACATACCTACAACATGTATTCTTCTGAGAGAATTTTCTTTCTTTTTTCTTTCCAGTAAAATAACACTGAAATTCAAGGATAAGGCTCTTCTGTAATCAGTATTTTTCGTTATCCCTTCCAGTGAGGACATTAATAGTAAAAAGGAATATGTTAGCAAACCTCATCTGGTATTCAGGATAGCCAGATAAGAAGCTGTGAACGTTTTTGATGCAGGAGAGAAAAGCCATCTGGTGATGGCTCAGCAGTTGGTTAGCTGGGATTATTTTCATTAGTGGTACTGATTATTTTCCTTTGCCTGTGAACTAAGCACATAACTTTCTTGTCTACCCAGAATTGAAAGTACCTTGGGGCAGCTGTGGTTTCACCTCTATACAGTGAGAAGAATATTAAAGAGGAACTACACCTGAAGACAGTTTTTTAGTCCCTGTTCACCAATGGATTGCTGAGGATTTGAGTTGTGGGTTACCTGCATGACTTTGATAATATCACCTCTGTTCTTTCCTCCAGTTTTTCACCTCAAAAATGAGTATTACCTTTCCACAGACTTGAGCACTATAAGAATATATTGGCTTACATCTTGAAGCTATTGTTTTGTTTGTCTCTACCATTTAGTTATTATGTGTTGCTCCTTAGTTTCATTTGAGACTATTCTGGGAAATATTGAAAAACACCTAAAAGACAACTCTGTCATTGGTCACAGCCAATACAGCTTCAGGAGAGGAAAGTCCTGCTTGTAAAACCTGATTTCCTTTCATGATAAGGCAAGTCACCTAGCTGATAAGGGAATCCAGTTGATGTAATCTTTCTGGATTTCAGTAAAGCTTTCAACACTGTCTCTCACCATATCCTTCTGGAAAAATGTCCAGCAGACAACTGGATAAATACATTATGTGGTAGGTGAGCAATTGGCTCATGGCTCAAGCACAGAGGGTGATAGTGAATGGGGTAACATCAGACTGGTGATCAGTCACTAGTGGGGTTCAACAGCGCTTCATCTTGGGCCCTGTGCTCTTCAATATCATCATAAATGACTTGGACACAGGACTCTAAGGGATACTAAGTTTGCCGAGGACACAAAACTGGGAGGAGCTGTTGACTCCCTTGAAGGCAGGGAGGCCCTGCAGAGAGACCTCAACTAATCAGAGGACTGGGCAGTCACCAACCACATGAAGTTCAACAAGGGGAAGTGCCAGATACTGCACCTGTGATGGGGCAACCCTGGATGTTTGTACAGACTGGGGAATGAGATGCTGGAAAGCAGTGCCACGGAAAGGGACCTGGGGGTCCTGGTCAATGGCAAGTTGAATATGAGTCTGCAGTGCCCTGGCAGCCAGGAGGGCCAACTGTGTCCTGGGGACATCAGGCAAAGCATCACCAGCCGGTCAAGGGAGGGGATTGTCCCACTCTGCTCTGCACTGGGGTGGCCTCCCCTTGAATACTGTGTGCAGTTTTGGGCATCACAATATAAGAAAGATATTAAGCCATCAGGGTAACAGAGATGGCGAAGGGCCTTGAGGGGAAGCTGTATGAGGAGTGGCTGAGGTCACTTAGCCTGTTCTGCTGGAAGAAGAGACTGAGGGGAGACCTCATTGCAGTTACAACTTCCTCCTAAGGGGAAGAGGAGGGGTGGGCACTGATCTATTCTTTGTGGTGACCAGTGACAGGACCCAAGGGAATGGCCTGAAGTTGTGTCAGGGGAGGTTTAGGCTGGATATTAGAAAAAGGTTCTTCACCCAGAGGGTGGCTGGGCACTGGAACAGGCTCCCCAGGGAAGTGGTCACAGCACCAAGCCTGACAGAGTTCAAGAAGCATTTAGACAATGCTCTCAGGGACATAGTGTTACTCTTGGGGATGGTCCTGTGCAGGGCTAAGGTTTGGGCTTGATGATCCTTGTTGGTCCCTTCCAGATCAGCACATTCTGTGATTATGTGAACTTTGAAGCCCTCTGCTGAACCTGCTTGAGGAGTTCCATGTCTCTCTCAGGAGCCCAGAGCTGGACACAGTACTTCATATGTGGCCTCACCAGGACTGAGTAGAGGGGCATGATTACCTCCCTTGACCTACTGGCAGTACTCTTCCTAATACTTCCCAGGATTCCACTGACCTTCTTGGCCAAAAGGGTGCATGCTGACTCATGGACAGTTTGTTGTTCACGAGGACCCCCCACATCCTTCTCCACAGAGCTGCTTTCCAGCACGTTGACCCCCAGCCTGTACTGGTGCATGGGGTTATTATTCCCCAAGTACAGGACCCCTCATTCACCTTTCTTGAATTTCAGACAGTTCTTCTCTGCCCATATCTCCAACCTATCCAGGTCCTGCTGAAGGGCTGCATGAGACTCTGGGGTATCAGCTACTCCTCCCAGCTTTTTGTTACCAGCCAAGAACATTCACTTAAGTAGCCAGAGAGCTTTTATTAACCATATATTGAGTCACTTATGTATGAACTGCTTTCTCACCAGGGGAGGGAAGAAGATAAAAAAGGATTATACAAGGCATTGCTATTTTTTCCATACCACTGTGCTGTGTTCACTCACCTTTGGTCATACCAGTCACAACTTTCCTAAGAGCTAGTTCAGCGTAACAAAAGTGTTTTAGAAATGAGAAAATTGTGAAGTCTGAATATTGAGCATGAGCTGTCATGGAATGATCTCTTTATATAATCATTGACTTTTCAATTTAGTTTGTCATGTTGATCTATATTTATACAAAATACTAATCGTATTTATTACAACCATATTTTAGCAACTTGGGATCACAAATGGTTTATTACCTATATAGCTGGAGGAATTTCTCCTGCTGTTTTGCTGTTAGTTTTCCTATTGATCTTCTGCATCATCACTGTTTTTTGCAAAAAGTGAGTAACAAATCAATTTGCATAATATACTGAAGCAGGTAAGTATGAATGTGTCAACAGCTCATCCTACTATCCTACTCAGAACCAACTAAAAAAAGGTATATGTGAAAATAAAATTTTATCATCTAAATTTTAACCTTGAAAAAATTAATCAGTTCTACAGCCTACGAAAAAAGTGACATTTTCTCTCAGGTTTTTTTTCCCTTTTTTCATCTTAGAAAAACAAATTGCTTACTCCAGTTTCTTAGTCAGCTAAATGCTTGCTGTGGTATTAGCTGAAACAACATGTTAAGGGTGATTTGTCAGGAGTAATATTGAACTAGGCATAGGCTATTCCTATTTTGTGCACAGAGGAGGCCAGGTGACATCTTGAGGTTTTCTAGATCTTCTAACATACTCACAGATGGATCCAAACTAATAGTTTTAACCATTATCTAAGTTTGGTGTATTCCTTGCCAAATATCGCTAGTGGTCTGATCCAGAATCTCTCTGCTTCCAATGAAAAGAAATAGTGAGCAGAAAATCTATTCCTTCCCCTGCCACAACATAATGAGGCTGCTGGAACTTTTGGGCAACATATTATTGTATTTCCCCCTGAATCAAAGGGCCTTTTCAGCTGAGTCCAGGCTTTTATGAAACAGTGTTAATCTTATGCATGTTACAGTTTGCTAGTCCACCTGGATTTTTATGGTATTTATTGATTTCTGAGGGAGTTTCTGACTAAGTGTATATCTTCAGAAAGAAGAGCAAGAGGATCATAGAGGCCTTATCAAAAATTTTGTGCTCTATTCAGACCTGGGTAAGGTCACCTGTTGAGACGGAGTTACTCATGTTTCGTACTGTATATTTATTAAGACCTTTCTCTTCTGTATTTGCTCTTTATATCCCCTGAATCTTATA